CAACAACGTTCACCTTAGATTTGGCCAGCACCTTCGACGTGCCGTCAACGCACTACTTCGCATACGGCAACGAAAAGCAGATTTGAGACGAGATTTGTCTGCACAAGGTATGGATGATGACGAAATCAAGCACCGCATCCGTCAAGACATCTTTTTACCAGCACAGACATTCAAGCAGGCTATTTCGCAGCAACCTATAGATATGGAACAAATCCCTCAAGAACCTATTTATATGGAAGCTCTTAACACTCTTCGGCCTGTTTTTGATGCTTATGATAGAGGCTACAACTTTGGCGAACAGGGACTGTTGTATTCGGCTTTAGTGTTATTGAAAAAAGGCTATTAAGTCGATGACTTGCGAATTAGATTCTTTATTAAGAAGAGCTGAATATTATTAGGGAGATTCTTGGCGCACTCCGTCGCGCGCTCCCAGATTTCAAAATAGTAACGTTGAATTCTCTTGGAGTAGTGCGCGAGGAGTGCGCGTGTTTAGGCTTGACCATTCATTGTTCCTGATTCGGATATTTAAATTCAAAACTGTTCATGCGCCTTGAGTATATCATAAAAGAGCAGTATAACAGTTATTATATCTTTTGAAGCTCGAAGAAGCTGGTTTTTAATTTCATTAATTATAATAAAGGAAAAACTTGCTACCCTTGTTTCTTTTCTTTTATTTAATTTACAAGATATAACCTAAGCTATGAATTTGTGTTTTTCTTCGGAATCAGGAAGATTTACGAGCCTTTCAGGAGCTTGTACGACTGTACAATCTTTCTTCGAATTCAAAAATGAATTACGACAAGACTATTGCTTTCTCGCTTTCTGGACAACCGTCTCCTAGCTGGCGCACAATTATTTTCACTGCACACATCAGTCAGTGGCATGGTCGCACCTCTGACGAGCCTCTGAAGTATTTGGGCTACCCGATAATCTACTCTCATTCGCAACGTCAAATTTTCTTATCTGATGTGGTTGCTAGGCTTAAGCGTAGCTGTGATACGCACAAATGTCGCAACTTGTCTGTACGTGGACGCGCGACCGTGTTGAATACACTTCTTCTCTCCAAAATATGGCACGTATTACGAGTTACTTGGATTCCTAAGAAAACTTTGGATAAAATTACCTCCATCGGCCGCCAATTTGTTCAACATCATCAATTTCCCTATATCAGCTACGATGTGTTGCTTCAACCTACACAACGCGGTGGCCTTGGTCTTCTCGATCCTGCGATTCAACAAAGCCTTCTCGCATATCGGTGGCTCACGCCATTTCTGTTGTCTGAGGCTCCTTCAGCTA